CAGGACACCAGTTTACTTCACCAAATGTGAGCTCCTTGGGTAGGTCAGGCTGAATACTGTTAATTTCCCAAATATTTAATCTGCTTGACTACCAAAGGGGGGTTCCAGAAGCACAGTTTTATGTCCCTTACCAATGATTCTTAAACAAGCAAGTGAGGGGTCTTGATTCTCATTTGTCAGACAAGAAACAGAAAGTAAAAGCATGGCAGAAATTCTACACATCAGCTATGCATACTGTCCGTGCAAACTGCTCAAGTATCCAAGTCCTGACTGTCAGCATAAATGCCAGGAGCACTCTGGGCTAGATCTAATAAAGGACTTGGGCAACATGAGGTACTGCAACACCGAATTTCTAAGTGCCTGGTGCCTGGAATGGACTCCAGAATCCTGCAGCAGATGCCATGAATCCATCAACAGGGCATTCATGGAGTGAGGCGTCTCAAAATGAGCTTCAAAAAACCCACAAAAGGAGGGTGGCGCTGGTGGGCAATAGGAAATGCTAAGCATAGGTGTGTGACTGAAATCTAACCCCTCTCCAGACGCCTCCCTCAGATGCTGTTGCCCACTCAAGTTCCAGAGCCCAAAATCCTCCCTTGAGTGTACAAGCAATCAGGGGCTCGTGAACAGAGGTGATATCTTGTATTAGATCAACAAGATTTTTGCAAAACAAGTTCTTTAATTGCAAGCTTTCGGGCACAAACACCCTTCATCAGGCATCAGAGAAAAGACTGTAAAAGTTTTCCTGGGTAGAAATGAAAGTTCATATTTCACAGGACTTCACAGAGGGGTCAATAGATGGAAAAAACTTCTGGGCAGCCGTTCTTAGCTGGTAAGGAGTCTCAGCTCTCCTGTGAAGCTGTGATGATCCAAATTACCTTAGGCAAAGGCAGGAGCAGGATTTCAGGTTTCAGGTGGTCAAAGTTGTTTCCTGCTTGGGAAAATATGAAGATTTTATTTTAAAAATCAGCAAAAATTCAATATCTGCCATGTGTCAGGTTTGTGCCTGAAAGTTTGCAATTAAAGACATTCTTTTGCAAAAATCTTGTTGGTCTAATAAAAGATATCACCTTGATTCCCTGAGTGTAGGCACTTATAATTGTTCTTTGAAAGAATGGAATAAAGTTCACTGTTTTCTTTTAAAGCTCAGCCACTGGAGAAGAAAGTGCTGCAGCCTATTGGTTAGGGCACTCAGCTGAGCAGGAGGAGTTCTAAGGTCATCTTGGGTCCCTCATGAGACAGAGGGAAAACTAGTTCCTACATCAGGATCAGGCATGGGTGGGAACAAGCACCAAGCTGTTCAGCCCAAGGCAGCCCTGAGCATGTACTGAAACAGACATGCGGGCACGTGGAGAACTTTCAGGCCAAACAGGGAGGAGCCTGGTGAATTTAGGCACCAGTAAGATTGGGTAACTGATAACCAGGGGCACTTAGATCATATATTTGGATGCATATGCCTAAAGTCTGCCCAAGTCCTTAATTCCTTATTTGGATCTCTGACACTTCTCTGTCAAAACAACATGACGTGACTTCATGCCTATGGCCAATGAGTGCTTTATTGTGGCTTGTCTCTATCCCCAATTCAGTGACGCTTGCCCTGTATTTCCCAGACTAATAACAACAAGCCATGTCCTTGTTATTTTACCATAGTTACAGCATTAAGAAGCACTGCACATGAAAAATCTCATGGTTTTATTTTACACTAAACAGCAGCTGTTCTGTGTATATGTTGGCTGTTAAAGCACTCTTGAATCTACTTTCTACTTAAATAAATCACTGTAGAGGCTCTGGTTTATCCTGATAGTTTAAACATAAAGGGTATAATCAGATAAGATCAGTAAAATACACACAAAATCCAAAACAACTTGACCAAGGAGAATTTGCCTTTGTAAGTTCAAGCCTGCCATAGCACTGCTGGCAATGATTTTCCATTTTCTAATATATAATAAATACAGTACTATATGTTTGCTTTCACTCCAGTGACAGTATACAAAGGCTGGCAATTTTCAAGTTTTTGAACAAATAAAGTTGATGATGCCTACGGGAGCTGTACCTTTAAGGCAAGCAGCTGAGAGGCCAGAAAAGGCAGGCCTTGGAGATACAAGCCCTGTACCAGGAGCAGAGGGAGCTGGTTTGACCTGGGCAGAGGTGGAGGTAGGAGCTCTTTTTTGGGAGCCGATGTAAGCAGCACTGAAAACTGGAGACTGGACCAGGCAATGCTCACTGAAGGAGCTCCATACACTGAGTGGAGAAGCAATACTAGAAACTGAGGAAAGTGTGAGTATGCCTAGGAAGACCCCAGCTGAGAAAAGACAGCATGACCGAGTAGAAATATGGAGGAGAGGCCTGGAAAAAGACACCCCAGCTGCAACTGATCATGTTTGGGTTTGATTTCTGTAGTTGTTACAGCCACAAGACATGGCAGTAGCTGAAGGGAAGGAAGGAGGCCATGAAAGGCACCCTGGTTGCAGACCCCTGAAACAGGCCTTGTTAAAAAAGAGGAACATCTTTGAAGCACCTCTTTCTGAATCATGCCCTGAAAAACTAGCACCCTCCAGCAGAGCATGTTAGGATGTTGCTTTATCCCCCGGCACTCCACAGTGCTCTGCCCTCCTCCAACCCCCAAGGTGGGGAAGGAAGGAGAGCTGGTCAGACCATCAATGAGCGCTCTCTTGTGTGCATGGCGGTCCTTAGGAAACTCTGGAATCAGAGGCTAGGACACATGCAGACTGCTCTGGAGTGCACATCTGCTGAATGCTTTCATAGCCATTCTGAGCACTCTGGAGGTAGGAGTGGAGAAGAGAACTAAATGTTAACATGGAGCTGAAGCACTCCACATTGGGAGTGCTTCAAATGAATGTCTATCCATTTTCTAGAACAGTGGAAGGTAAGTTTTTCTGGCTGTGGGTTGAAATGACCCACCTTGGGTCCAAGGCAAGTGGATGGGTAGATGCTAGGACCCAGCCATAGCTGCTTCTCTCCACAGCAGTGGGGGAAGAGAACTCATAGCCAGAGCCCCCACCACTGAAGCCCAACGTGTGCAGACTGGATCCAATGGCTCTGCTGGCCAGATCTAGCCCATGGTCCATAGATGGCCAACCCCTGCTCTTGGAAATGCAACTGTACTGTGAAGTTCAGGACACCCATGAAGGAAGTATTCAGCATTGATCAAAGAAAGACATGCAGCCAATAGTAAGTAGCAAATACTAAGGCCTTTATATACATCTCAAGGAATGGTAGCTCCTGGGTAACCCAGGTGCATTCTAAAGGATTCAAAGGTTCAGTTCTGACTTTACCTGCCTCATTTCTTTTCTGATCCTTTTTTGTTGAAGTTGCTCTATTTTAGCTGATTTCTCAGCTTCTTCAGTCAAGCACTGGAGTCTCTGCTCTTTCTCCTGCATGTCTTCCAGCACCTTTTGCATGTTTTCTGCCTTTATCAAATCCAGCTGTTGCCTACTTCTGGTTTCATGAGTCGTCCTATGTTTTGCTTCTTGCAGCAGCTGTTTCTGTAACATAGAATACCAATAGGTTAGGAAACACACCTTAAAAGGCTTTTCTTTCTAATGTAAAAAAAACAAACCCAAACAAAATTGAAAACAGACAGTTAAAACTCAGACTTCCTGGCATAACTGAAGAAGGCATAAGCTTAGTTTTTTCCTCCCTCTGTACCTCACCTTTAAACTGTGTCTAGAAATTAGCCCCTTTTGTCCCGTACAGTTGGAGGTGTCACCAACTAACTGCCAAATGAGAAAAGGGCTGCACTGAACTGTAAGCAGATAGCTCCTACTGGAGATAATGGGACATTGACAGAGGCATAGCAAGGCAGCTTCACACCTAGGGCAGCTGTTACACATGGGGCAGCATCTGCTGCCACCATGTCAATCACAGTGGTGTGTTCAGCCGCCACTGCAATGGCGGCTACTTTTGGAAACCCCCACAAAGGTGCTGACAGAGTTGTGTCCCCCCGACCCCGGAGTTATGCTACTAGACTTTAGGGCATAAACACAGAATCCCAAATCCAAATTCTATTCTTAGAAAGGGCAGTGCATTCCCTAGAAAGGGTGTCTGCACCATTTATTTATAACAATCTTTTAGATCAGTGACTCCAAGAGCACCTGTGTGTAAAATGCTGTTCAAAACACATACATACAAAAAAGAAAGGGCACTTTGATTTGTTTGCAACAGTATCTTCCACTCCACAAAACTACAGCATTCTCTGTTTTCTGTGACAGCCCCTGGACTGTGAGAAACTCCCTTTGTTTTTAAAGGGACAGAGAGTAAAAGTGAAGATTTGGGGCAGAACCATGTTTTTTCTAGACATTTCTGTTTTACCGGTGGATACAGCCAAAACCCCATATGTTATTGTGACTCTGAGGATCAGGAAAATACTTGAAAGCAATATTAGACCCAATGCTATACACAATGTACATTAGGCACAGCTCCCACTGAAACTCAAGACTGTGGAACTGAGAATGCTGTTTGTCAAACATGCCCAGGGTCACCTATGCTAATGGGAGCTTAAGATGCAGGAGGAAAAGGAGGAATTGAAAGCTAATGGCAGACACTGGGGGAAAAAAGGGTTCTAGGAAGGCCAGGCTGAGGAATTCAGTCATTTAAAAACAAAATGGCAGGCAGGCAGTTGATTGAAAATAGACATGTGTACATGTACAGACACATGCATGCCCTGAACAATGACCTCTGCTTTTTTTAAAGAAACAACAGACTTTGAGAGCAAAAAATGATGAGGAGGAAGTTTTCTGACCATCACTAACACTGGAATTTCATAGACTTTAAGGCTACAGCATCTAGTCTGAATGTAACAAGCCAGTGAATTTCAGCCATTTACTCTTAGATTGAGCCCATAACCTGTGCTTAATGACAGCATATGTTCCAGAAAAGAAGCTGATCCTTATTAGAGGATAGAGAGCCTCCACCTTGTTAGAGTGATCATTCAAAGAATGAATCTCACTATAACAAAATAATTTCTTATTTGAGCTTCTCTGGCTTTAATCACTAGTTCTCACTGTGACTTTCTCTGATGGACTGAAAAGCACTTTGGTACAATCCCCACCAGGTAGAACACTCACAGCTAGTGCAGGAGGCCACTTTCAATATGCCTGTACCCTTATGTGACAAAGGCTTTATTTACATTATGCTAAGCATACCAGGTATGTTGGGCAGACTCAGCTGTGTGTACCTCGGAAAGCAACCCATTCAACAGTGGTTTAAGTCACTATTAAAATTGCTCTTAATGAGATGCAAAAATAATGATTGGTGGAGTGTGCCCAAGTGCTTATCAGCGCACAACCCATGACTTTGTTACTGAAATCTCTGGGAATGGCAAGATGCATAGAATCCATATCTCTTCTCTGCCACAGTCTTTTTCAGCCAGGAACTTGCAGAAGAAATCCCAGAGAGATGTAAAACCTTGGACAGCAGCTGCACCACTGGCACAGTAAGATGCAGGACAAATCAGCTCGGATGGTCCATTCCTTTAGTTCTGTGGTGCTCAACCCCCAGCCTGCAGGCCAGATCCAGTTCCTGGCACCTTGTTGTCCAGCCTGTGGGGCTCCCTACACATCCATGTTGAGCTCCATGGGCCATCGCCCTGAGTACTAGATCTGGCACACAGGGTCTGATCCTGGTGTGGGGCCCTGATCCCAGGCACATGGGGTCGGGCAGGGGCAGCATGGTCCAGGTTCCTGTGTGTAGGCCTGATCCTGGGGTGTAGGGTCCTATCCAGTCCACAGCCCAGCCCTGCACCACTGATTTGGCCCATGAGGCCAAAAGGTTGAGCACCACTGCTTTAGATAGTTTCATAGTTTCTAGGGTCGGAAGGGACCTGAGCAGATCATCTAGTCCGACCCCCTGCCATGGTGGGAAAGAGCACTGGGGTCAAATGACCCCAGTAAGGTGGTCATCCAACCTCCTCTTAAAAGCCCCCAGGGTGGGAGCCTGCACCACCTCACTTGGAAGCTGGTTCCAGACCCTAGCCACCCTGACCGTGAAGTAGCGCCTCCTGATGTCCAACTTAAACCTTCCCTCCGCCAGCTTGTGACCGTTGTTCCTGGTCACTCCTTGCGGCGCTCGGGGGAACAGGGACTCCCCCAGCGCCTGCTGATCCCCCCTAACCAGTTTATAACAGGCCACAAGATCCCCCCTCAGCCTTCTCTTTTGAAGGCTGAACAGGTTCAGGTCCCGCAACCTTTCCTCATAGGACCTACCCTGCTGTCCCTTGATCATACGAGTGGCCCTCCTCTGGACCCTCTCGATGCTGTCCACATCCCTCTTAAAGTGCGGCGCCCAGAACTGGACGCAGTACTCCAGCTGCGGCCTGACCAGTGCCGCATAGAGGGGGAGGATCACCTCCTTGGACCTGCTCGAGATGCATCTGTGGATGCACGACAAGGTGCAGTTGGCCTTCCTAGCCGCCTCCCCACATTGCCGACTCATGTTCATCTTGGAGTCAATAATGACTCCCAGATCCTTTTCCACCTCCGTGCTGACAAGAGGGGAGTTCCCCAGCCTGTATGTATGGTGCCGATTGTTCCTCCCCAGGTGCATCACCTTACACTTGTCCGTGTTAAACCCCATCCTGTTCTCCTCCGCCCATCCTTGTAACCTATCTAGGTCCAACTGTAGCCTGTTGCTCCCCTCTATTGTGCCCACATCCCCCCACATCTTAGTGTCATCAGCAAACTTGAACAGGGTGCTTTGCACCCCCTCATCCAAATCACTGATGAAGATGTTGAACAGGGCGGGCCCAAGGACCGAGCCCTGTGGGACCCCACTTCCCACGTCCTTCCAGGTCGAGAAGGACCCATCCACTACCACCCTCTGGGTGCGACTCTCTAACCAGTTGGCGACCCATTGGACTGTATGGGTGTCTACGCCACAGTCCCCCAGCTTCCTAATGAGAATGGGAATATTGTTGATGAATATTGTTACCCCAACATGTGCACTGTACTGTGTGTAGTGCGAGAAGCTGAAGTGAAAAGAACTTTGCTGTGGAGTGGAGGCATCTGTGGGTGCATTCCAGTGACAAAAGATGTGAAATGAAATGCCCTGAATGTTCATGCTACCTTTACTAGGGATTTTCTTGAATTTTAGTGATTTTGTGAAAGGGGAATATACTTGCATTTTCTTAAATCAAGGTTACCATTTTCATAGTTTCATAGTTTCTAGGGTCGGAAGGGACCTGAGCAGATCATCTAGTCCGACCCCCTGCCATGGCAGGAAGAGCACTGGGGTCAAACGACCCCAGTAAGGTGGTCATCCAACCTCCTCTTAAAAACCCCCAGGGTGGGAGCCTGCACCACCTCACTTGGAAGCTGGTTCCAGACCCTAGCCGCCCTGACCGTGAAGTAGCGCCTCCTGATGTCCAACTTAAACCTTCCCTCCGCCAGCTTGTGACCATTGTTCCTGGTCACTCCTTGCGGCGCTCGGGGGAACAGGGACTCCCCCAGCGCCTGCTGATCCCCCCTAACCAGTTTATAACAGGCCACAAGATCCCCCCTCAGCCTTCTCTTTTGAAGGCTGAACAGGTTCAGGTCCTGCAACATTTCCTCATAGGACCTACCCTGCTGTCCCTTGATCATACGAGTGGCCCTCCTCTGGACCCTCTTTGTGTGTATTGCAATACTCATTTGACTTTCTTTTCCCCCATTCATTAAAATATAATATTGAATACTGAACACTGAAGTTGTACATAAAAAAATATCCCCAATACTACAGGTATTTGATATCTGAAAGACACTAACTCTTGCTCCTAGCCTGTCCTTCACTACAGTGGTACCTGTAGGAAAAGTTCAACCAACACTTCTAGCTTCGTACAGTAAAATACATTTTTCTGTTTTCAGTTGTCACTTGGTTCTGAAATGACTTTGCTTTCGGAAAGCCAATGAGGAAAGTTCTCCATTAAAAGTCACTGGGAATGTGAGGAGAGAAGCATTTGATTCACTATGTAGAATGAGCCAGGACCAAGTTATTTTAGGTACCTGCTGATCTAGCTGTTTCTGCAGCTTTTCATTCTCTGCTTCAGATCTTGCCAGAGCCTTCCTCACAGCCACCAGCTGCTCATGGAATAAAGTGACTTCTTGTTCTGCCATCATCTTGGCAGTCAGACACTCTTTTTTGTTTTGACGGGCCTCCTGTTAACACAAATGACATAATGCAATAATGAAACAAAGCAATGGCCCTCTCTTTATTGTTTCTCACTACTGAAAACACAACCTATAAAATGTTTTTAATAAATCTTCGGGATCTAGCTTCTTAATATTTTGCTGATGCAGGAAAGATGGCTGAAAGTTGGTCAGGGAGGGGTTTGTTTGGGATTTTGTGTCAGTATTTTTCACTCATTTTTACTTAGACCTCATCTAAACAAAGATTTTGCACAGATACAAGCATTTTGTACAGATATTTGTTAGGAGTGTGATCTTTTACCAAAAGAGTAAAATCTGCAAGATCCCTCATAAACCTAATTTATACCTTTCTCTTTTGGGAATAAGCTATAACACCATTATACTGGAATTGCTTTGTCCACACTAGGGGGTGGTGGTATTTTAACTGTGCCAGTGGCACAACTTGTGTGTTTAAATAAATCCTTAGAAACCCTCAGAAACATAAAACCTGGTTTTCCCAAGTTTTGTAGGAGGACCAGTCAGAGATAGGACTGATTTACTGTTAGCTCTTAACAGGTTATAAAGGATTTAAGAGTGTTGAATTGTGCATTGAAAATGTTAGTCATTGAAATTAAACAGGTGCTAATACCACCTACACACACACACACACACACACACACACACGTAGTGTTAAACAGTCAGATTAAAAATCTGTTGCACTCTTTACATTTTAAGATTTACTCTTGGGCTAAGTCTTCAGTGCAAAAGTGGCTTGGGCTTTTACTCAGTTGCTGACCCTAACCCTTCTCCCATCTGAATATAAACCTTCTCATTCGAGTTTGACAGTGCTTTAAATAAAGGCAGGCTAGCTGGCCCAGATGCTGGTATGGGTTTGAGCATGGATGCAGTTTTTACTTATGACAGTAATCCAAATGAAAACCCATTTTGGGGGGATTTTCAAGCTAAATCACGCAAGTGCTGATAACTCTCCAATGCCTTCCTGCAATTTCTCCTGGCACATTCCCCCATACTTCACTGTGAGAGAGTCATACAGCATTCAGCTTACTGCTGCAAAAGGGATCATCCTAGCAATAAACATAAATGAGCACAACTCCAGAGGCCACAGTCACTCGGGTATGGTTTTACAATGTGGCAGCTCACATCCTTGTACAGATCACCCAAATTTAACTTTGCAGTGCAGACACACCCTCTTGCTTCCTGCAATTTCACCACAGACTCTTGCTTATCCAGTCTTATGAGTAACATCTGACCTGTAATGCCAATGTTAAAAAAAAAAAAAGGCTTCCTCCATATATCATAAGAGGAGCAAAAAAGCTGTTAGCTTTTTTAATTTTCCAGATCATATTTAAACTGCTTCTGCAGTCCCTGTCTACATAACAATGTATCACTCACATGACCATTGAATAAGGACTGGATCTCACAGGCTAGGGACAGACATTATACATAAACCAGTTTAAGTGATCAGAAACTGACTTAAATCTATAACAGAACAGATGTTCAGTACACATAAACCAGTCTGAGAATGACTGAAACCAGTCTGAGATAAACCTGGTTGAATCAGATTTGACTGATTTGGCTCAAATGGTTTATACAATGTCTGTCCCAGACTCCTGTGTTCTCAAGTAGTACCTAGGAATTTTAATTCATGCATGCTGGAATTAAACAAAGCTGAAATCTCATCTGGTTCCCTAGCGGACACTATCACTAACCACTGGGCTGTCGCCACTAGCAAACAAAGTCCGAGACAAATGAAAGGAAATCAGACCTCTGCTCTGCTGAATAAAAGCTCATTCAGAACCCAGAGTTCAGCTGCATCCAAGCAGACTCATCCTCCAGTTCACTGGAAAAGTGATGCAAAGAGATTTGCTGGAAAGCGGGACTTCCAGCTTCTGGTATTTGTTTCTGGAATTGACTTTGTCTGGGACATGTGAGAGTGCTCCCATTTTGTACTCTGCACTGTATGATGATTAGTCATGCATACAAGACAGGACTCTCAGGAATCATGCCCAAACTGACAACAATGGAAATCAGGACACAGGTTACAGGGTGATTCTGTTTCCCCAAGTCTCAAAGAAAGCCAGCCTGAAAAGTGTTGAGAAGAAAGGGAGGTTACCTAAACACTTTCTTTTCAAAGGTCCTTTGGCATCCTACAGCACTCTACTCCCCACCTGCTCTGTGGCACACTCAGTTGTCTCTGAGCTCTGGTCTCATGCTGGAGCATTGCAGCGTGCCAAGGACACCAGCAATGTGGGTCCTCCCCACTAGCTGGAGATTGCATCCACCACTGCATTCCTGCTGAAAACGTGGCAAAAGTGTTTATTTGACCAAACGCATGGGACATTCAGGACAGATTTAAAATGGGATGGATGGGCACCCAAATGACTTATTTCTCTTCCTTCTGGTCAGGAGATGGTTCCTTCCACTCCATGCAGCTGGCAGACAGGGAAGAGGTTGACCTTTCAGCTGCAGAGTTCAGAGACTTCTGCCCAACCAGGTGTGGCAGAGCGCTTTACTGGTGGATGTCACTCTGAGGGAGCTTGATTTTAGTGGTCTCCAGGAGCTCTCCATTGCTACTGACTAGAAACTGATCTTCAAACAACACATCAAAATACCACACACACTATTGCTCTTTCTTCTGTAAAGAAATCTGGACCTGCTTGTAGGACTCCAGGAACATGGAAAATGAAGACATGCCCACTCCAGTTTAAGCACTGTCAAAAATCAATAGATGAGTGAACAGCAAGACAGATGCATGCATTGCTTTGTCTATTTAAATGCATGGTCATACTTGTAAAAAGACTTTATGTACAACAAGACTCAGGTGATGCTTTAATCTTTCCTTATTGTCCCTGAGATAATTCTCACCAGATTTTTTTCTGGTTCTCTTTGATATGGCTTAGCCTCATGAAGAATCTGTTCCATCTGTCACAGATTTTAAGATAAGCCATGCCACCTGGTTCGTAGTCTTGGTTTAAAATAACAAAACAAATTTTTTCATCAGTTTTTTTCAATTTTAGATTTTTTTTCTAATCACATGGAGATCCATCATCCCCAACCAAATCTACAAGTTAGATATCTATTACAGTCTCTGCTTGGTATACATTAATTAAATACTGAAATGATTTAGGATCTTCTGGACAAAGCACATGCACATAATTGTAAACTCAGGTACAACTTTAACTAGCTCACACAAGCTATTCTGCTTTTACTAGTTTGAAATTAACAAAATGTGATTCGTTCTGCCCTTCTGCACCTGACAGTACAGACAATTAAGTCACATAACCACCACTTGTAAGCCTTATGTTCCATTCTCTCCCACCTCATTCAAAGCATTTTTTCTACTTATCCTATCTTTTATTTAAGTGTAATGATCTTCATCCTTCATCCTGCTTTGTAAAGATTTAAATTAATAGCCTTTGCGGTCCATTCTGTTTTCTTTAAGTAAAATAACCTTTAGATCACTACTGCTTCAGTGTGCATGACATTTTCTGTAGAAGTCAAATTGAAAAAACAGTATTTTCCCAACCTACAGCCACAAATTTCTGAGCATTCCCACTGGCTTATATGGATTTTCTTAACACAAGTGTTCCCTCTTATGTGCTTTGGTCAATAAGGAAATAGTTCTTTTTGACATTTGCCATTGTCACAATTCAACTTCAGCATCAATACTGGAATGAATATCATGGCTGTTCACACTTCTCACAGCTCTTGTTTCAGGCTGTCTGCAAACTCAGGCAGAAATCAGTGCTTAACCTTCATATTGTGACCAGAGTGTGAAAGTATATTGTTAGCCACAAATTACCTTCTTTTAAAATAAAGCATAGAATTTGGAGCAGAAAAACAGTTATATGAAAATATACTGGCTTGCTGAGATGCTACCACCCAACCCAATGTGGCC